CAAGGCCCAGAGGAGGCGGTTGGTAACAAGCTCACAGTTTGCTCATCGGGAAAATGCATGATTCTGCTGCTGGGTTTGATCAATAGGGCTGCAGACATCCAAGTGTAACTTGGAAGAGTAAGGGGTAATGCCAGGCTTCCTCACAACAGGGTTGGCTGCTTCCAAGGGGGCTGGCTCTTGACTTGACACACCTGTCTGTGAGCCTTTGGCAAAATCAGGCCTGAGCCCTGATGTTCTCTGACCCCAGCATTCCCCAAGCCCTCACACCCTCTATGACCACTGAACTGGTCATGCTTTGGGGTCACTCGTAGTGGCAGATGACAATCTTAAAGACTCTACCTGGGAGCAGGAAGACCTAGTTTCCTATGCTGTCACTCCCTCCGTACACTGGTTGCGAGGGAGCTGTGGAGGGCCAGGTCTGCTTGTCTCACAGCCAGGCTCCATTATTGGCAACTTTTGGTGACATTTTACTTTCTTGCTGCTAACCTATCCACACAAGAGCCCACTGGTGGGGTGGTTACGAGCTAGGCTGCAATCTGCATGGTCAGCAGTTCAAAACCAGCAGCAGCTCCAAGGGAGCTATTTACTCCCATAAACAGTTCAACAGTCTCGGGAACCCAGAGCCGGGGCCAATGTAAACGCAACCTAATAGTTGCGTCAGCTTCTCTCAAGATGGCCAGCAGGTAGTCATCTCCTGTGAATGGCTTGACATGCAGTTACGAGGACTTTGTGATGGAAAATGATGCTCTGATCCACACATTCAGGCTAAGACCGAGGCATTCGTGTGTTGCCTTCTAGAAAGCCAGAACTGTCCGTGACGTTTTAGAAGTCAAGCATCCAGTGGCTTGCAAATGATGCTCAGAAAAGCCCCATTCACTTTGCTCGTCCCCTAATAGACACGCTCATTCACCTACCCACTCATAGCCAGAACTGCCCACCCTTGATGTTCTATTATTTGTTATCTAAAGAAAGGGCTATACAGTTTGAGAAATCACTGATTTACTTTGAATCGCTGATTTTACTAAGGGAAAATTGAGATCCGCTGTAGGAAAATGGGAGCCCTGGTGGCACAGTGGTTACTCATCGGGCTGCTATCTGCAAGATCAGCAGTTTGAAACCCCCAGCTCCTCCTCAGGAGAAAGAGTGTTTTCTACTCCCATAGTCAAGAGTGACTCTCAGACTCACATCAGTAGCTCTACTCTGGCCTCTGGAACTGCAATGAGTCGGCATCGGCTTGATGCAATGAGTTCAGAGTGGGAGAGTTGCTTGACCATTTGCCACAGAGCAAATCTGTGAGTGGGCAGCAGCAGCCACACTGGTCCTGGTTGCTCTTAGAACCAACACAAGTGGTCATGGAGGACAGAGCAGAGGACCATGATCATGGTAGGCTGGAAGGGTAGAGCATCCTTGAGTCTGGTCCTGTCCTAGGACTTATCTGCTTCTTGCTTCAGAAAGGCTGCAGGACCTGAGGTCTCCGCCTTTAAAATGGGAGGAGCTGTATTTCTCAAGGGAGCAGTACGTACCATTCAGACTACAAACTCACTGCCACCAAGTCAGTTCTGACTCAGTCCCCTCCAAGGGAAAGTAGAAGTGCCCCTGTGGGTTTCTGACGATGTGAATCTTCACAGGAGTGGAGAGAAAGCCCAATCATTCTCCCGCTGAGCAGACCTGATGCATAACCCATTACACATCACTAGGGCTTTGTGAGTTCAGACACATATTAATGTAAAGTGAGAATATATTACCAGTCTCAAAGGTACTGTGAAGAGTAAGATATGTAAGTCTTCATAATGTGCCTAGATTTCAAAATGTCCTTTCTACAGAAGAAACGAGTTCAGGGTCCACTCACAAAGGGACAACCCTTCACAGTCCTTACCTCTTGGTTCCTGGACGTAGGTTGAGGCAGAGGGTGCCTGGACATAGGCTGTGGTAAAGCTTTCTAATCTTCCGGCCCCAGCACCAGGCTGCTACCTTGGGGTGGGGTCCACCTTCAGATCCAGGACTCAAAGCCACATGTCAATACTCCACCAGGGCATCCTCTGCTCCCCTCTGGAGGGGCTATGGCTCTTTTCCTCACACTCTAGGGCCATGAGAGCCCCAACCCCCTGCTCTGAAAGGGGAACCCACTACAGATGCCACTGCTCCCTGGCATCTCAGGCCTCAGACCAGTTTAGGGCCTTCTCAGGGAAACACAGTGGTGGTGGTTGCCAGGTGGGTCCCATAGCGGAACCACATCACCAAGCCAGGCTCCCATCTGACCTCTGTTCCCTCGTTGGCTAAGAGTGGGAGCTGACTCTAAAGTTTCATGTTCTACCTTCACCGTTCTGTGTGCCCTTATGATATTTTTACCTATTTTTAAAAAGTTTCTCCCTTAAATTAATAATAAGCAATGCTGTTTCTGAAATCACAGGTTCAAGATAGTGGTGGCCTATTTCACACATGGTTAGAAAAACAAGTGCATAACTATCAACGGCATCAGGGGAGTCCATCGTGACCATGAAAAGTCATCCCTAGACTAGATCACTGATGGCCTGTCCCACTCTCTGACCTCCTGCTGAGATCCCTCAAAGGCTCTTGAGAACAAAAAGTCTGACTTTATAGCAGGTAGAAGGGGGCAAAGGAAGGAGAGACCTGGGAGAAAGCTTGATGTAGCCAGGGCTGCAAGAAGATGAAGAATGAAAGATGACGGGGCCAGGACAGAAAGGGAGACTGAAGGCTTAAGTGTCATTGAGAAAGACTCCTGCGACTGATTTCTAGAAACAACTGAAGGCCAAGCTAAGAATCAGCTAGCCCTGCATCCCTCACTCCACCACACACTCGCCGACTCACCTGTAGGGCCTGCTGCTCTGAGGGTGGGGGTGACCTTGATTCTGGAGGCAAACCTCTGAACATGGAGGTGCCTGGGGGTTAGGGCACGTCTGCCTTTCAGCTTCCACTCCTTGCCTTTGAGAGTGGCCAGGGCCTTCTGGACACTGGCCAGAGTTCTGAATTTTGAAAGCAAGAAGACCACCTTCTGTTAGAGAGGGCCCAAAAAGGTGGTCACTGTCCGAGCTGGCTCCTGGCCAGGGCCATGGCAAAAAGCCAGACAGGAGCCCCTGCCCTGGCCCAGCACCTTTCCCTTCTCTGACCTCATGTTCCCACCATCCACTAGTGACCCCTTTCCCTAAGGCTGCATCTGGTGGCGTACACTTACTCAAGAAACAGTATTTTTCGGTGTTCCACATTTAAGATCGTTAGGCAAGATCACAGCTTCCAGGCCAAGGAAGAGGCTGGCATGGTGCACAAGTTGTCTTTGAAGGTTTCGCTCACTCCAGATTGGTAAATAGGACCCAGCTTCTCCGAATCTTGCTCCAGCTCACTGACAATGGAGGGTCAGCTCTGTCACAGGCCTTTGCACCTAAGCCAGAAAGCACAGGCTTAGTGGTCACCACTGCAAGCCCCCTGGCCTCTGCAGACTAGCGAGAGCCCTTGGGAAAAGAATTTTGCCAGTTTGCTCATCCATAAAATGAAGAGAAGATAGCTGCCTCAGAGAACCCTGGTGGAGACTAGATAGATCGAAAGATGGATGGATGGATGGATAGAAATACACTTCTATCTTTTTAGGTAAGTATATTCTTTCTCTTTCTCTTCCCATCCCCAACATTAAAAATCAGTTTTATGCCACCTAACCTCAGTGAAAGTCTGTTCACTTACATAATCAACTTCAAAATAACAACAATGGCTCACCCCTGCAAGTTGAAGAAAAAGATAATCACAAAGAACCTCCCCGAATAAACTATTTGGACCCTAAGTAGGAATTACTAGCCCAAGTGAATTTTAATAAAAGCAAAAGCTGTCATGTCCTGGGTGCCTCACTGTTAGAACTCCAGGCTAGAGATTTTCCACGGCAGAATTCTTGTGCCTGGGCCTCTCTAGGCAGTTTCTTGTATGTCTTGGGCTATGGCTGCACAAAGGCCACTGCCTTTCTGACCTGTTGCTGGCCACCTTACCTTGATGCAGATACCTTCCACCAGAGCATCATCCAAAGCTGGCCAGCTGGGCAGCTTCCAGGACTTCCTGCTGGACACAGAGATGAGGCTGCGGAGAGAAGAAGAGCTTTGCCTTCTAGACTCAAGCTACTGGAAAGAGCTGGAGAAGGCACATGACCTGCAGTACCCAAAGCCACCGGAATAGACTCCCCCTTGCTGTGTGGGGCCAGACAGTGGCTGCCGGCTGCTTCATGGTGGTGGTCAAATTTTTTGGGGGGGTGGTGGTAGTGGTGGTGGTGTTCAATTTTAAGTAGCATCACCGAGGTTTAGGAACTGATTCTAAGGCAATAGCCCTTACCTATCTTTTAAAACGGAAGCCTATATCTCTCTGGGTGGTTTGGAGAATGGACTAACAAAATGTTTCCTATTCAACTTGCTTTTCACATTGTTTCTTAGGTGTCACCAAAGGTGTATGCCAGCACTAGATACAACTATAGGTAGAGGTTCACATTCATCTTCTTAGTTTAATCTCAGAGAGAGGCAGCTGTGCTATAAGCTTGAGAAGCCAAATTCTTTTCATTAACTGGGTCTTATCGTCACTACCCTTCAATATCTGGATATCTAACCACTGTTTTTATCCTATCTGGGTCTGAGCATGTTCTCGGTTCTAAAGCAGTCTGTCTTCTACCAGAGAGAGCTGTGCTGCAGAGCAGAGCTCTTCCTGCGGTCCCCTTGATGCCTCAGGGATCGTCGCTCTTTGTGCTGATCTGAGCTACAGCATTCTCGTGGGGAGAAAACCCTTCCATTACCATCCTCTTGGACCTTAACCCATCTAGAGACTACTTTGAATCTAAACCCTACCCAGATAGCCCAAGACATGCAAACTATTGCTGCCCTTTGAAAGCTGAGGTCACAATCAGAAGGCCAACAACCTACAACCAGCTAGGAAAGATTCTTTTTGTATAGCTCACAAATGTTTAAGACAACTAAAGCCAACATATGAAAATTGGCAGATTTCTCAATTTTCTTTAAAAATCCAAACTAGTAATAATGGGTACATGTTCCTGTTGGTAGGAGCTCTGGAGGTCTAGTGGTTACATGTTGTGCTGTTAATCATAAGGTCAACAATTCAAAACCACCAGCTGATCCAAGGGAGCTTTTCTACTCTTGTAAGGAGTTACAGTTGGACTATACCCTCTCCTATAGGGTTGGATGATTTGGAAAGAACTCAATAGCAGTGAATTTGCTTTTTAGTTTATGTTTGTGAGTCAACAACTGCCTCCATCAGACAGCATGTCTCACTCCAGTCGGTACCAATCACTTTTACTTAACGAATATTACTGCATAGCTCCTATAGAGATGAGTTTGTAGTACTAATCTAGAAGGCCCAAATCTACATTTTCTGGTTTCCTTCCCCGATGAGTTGCAAGAACAAGACTCACTGATGTGACTGGACTGACGCTCTTACGCAGCTTCTTCAGAGCCTGGAGGGTGCATCTTTGCTAAAGGGTCCAGCACAAACAGTTGACATCTCTGGCATGTGATCCCCAGCTACGGAGACCAGCAGAACACAGCAAGGAGGTGCATGTGAAAAGAGAGATAAAGGGTTAGAGAACCACGAGTTTAAACACAGGACAGTTTTACTTCAAGGAATGTTTTCACATGAGACTTACCAAAGTACAAAGATTTGGATACAGGACATGCATTATTACAGTGTTACTTATAACAAAAATTTATAAAGTGAGGTGTTGTAATTAATAGGTATATCATACAAAGGACTACTGCAGCCATTGAAAACAAGGGTGATAAGGTATATACTAACATGGAAAAATGTACAAAATATACTCTTCAATGAAAATATAAAAGTGACAAAACAATATGCTTAGGTTGATTCCCATTTTATAAATATGCTCTTTTTAAAGGCACTTTTGAAAAATGCACGATGTTTAAAGTATAAACATAGAAAAACTGGAGAAATATACAACCTTTTTTTTTACTATGCACAACAAACGTAATAAAGGAGGTATTTCTTCCTCTAAGGGGGCAGGTTCTAAGAGTAATTAAGTAAATCCTCCAAAGAGCCCGTCCCCTTATTCATTTGTTCATATCCTGTCAGGTGTGGTGAGCAGGGCTCAAAAGAGAACTGGACAATGCTGAAAGGAGACAGGGGGATGTCCACTTTGGTCTGCTCAAGAGCCTGCGGAGGAAACACCAGAGTGAGGGAGGGATCCAGTAGTCTACTGTGATTCTTGGGAATGAGCCACAACCACTATGACCAGCAAATTTAGCGACAGGAAACCAAGCATTGGAGGAGATACAAAACAATCCCTTAAATGAGAACACAAAAGAGGTGACTGCAGAGTGTCAAGAAAGCAGGTGAAAATCTAATAAAGGACATTGAAAAAAATCAGGAAAAATATAAGTGAATAAAACAGATAAGGATTGGAGAGACTAGAGCTAAATGGCAGACAAGCAAAAGACGGTCAATAAAGAGTTCATGGCATAATTCCATTTCCTTTTCATTCCATTCTGCCATGAACTTTTTGAAGCCTCCTTGTACATATATAGTTGGAGTTCATGAGGAAGAAAATTAGAACAATGAAACCAAATGAGTTTTTGAAAATATAATCTAAGAAATATGGAAATAAACGGAGACCAGAGCTATATATTGAAAAGGGCCATTGGGTACCAGGAAAGTGTGAGACGGCTCGGTAAGGGAATGAGACTCTTCATCAAAGGACCAAAGGACTCGAGGCATAAAGGAGAAATAATTTACAAGGCCAAAATAATTACATTATCATTGACCTTTTTTAAAAAATAACTTACAAGGACTTCTACCTCCAGTCAAAGATCAAGTAAAGCAAACCAGGAACAGAAGAAAACTTTCAGAACCTCATATAAAGGGCATCTATTTGAAAAATCAGAAAAACACAAACTAGTGTCCTGGCTAACAGTATGAAATGAGGTACTTTTCCCCTAAGATCAGGACAAACTCAGCTGTCTGCTCCGTCACTTCCACTCAGTGCTGTGCTAGGGATTATCCACTACACACCACAGTACGAAAACTGAGAAATGGAAGGGGAAGAAATAAAAGGCATACAGACTGGAAAGAAAAAGGTAAAACCATTCGTTGTAGACAACAGGAAGTAGGATAAGACTACCAATTACTGTATAGATAATAAGTGGCAGGGCAGGGAGGGAAGGATACCACTTAAAACTGACCAACCCCCTCCGCCCTCACAAACTCATTAATTTCTCCACAAATATTTTGCCACCCCTTTATAAACCCCAAAGCAAACTCCTTGCTGTGTAGTCCATTCCAACTCATAGCGACCCTCTAGGGCAAGGTGAACTGCTCGTGTGAGTTGCCAAGCGGTAACTCTGAACGGGAGGGAAAGCCTCATCTTTCTCCCACCAAGTGGCTGTTAGTGAACCTGCTGACCGTGCAGCTAGCTACCCAACAGGTACCCCACGAGGCCACCCGAGTGTCACAGACGTGCTAGGCAAAGGTTCAACAAGGAGAAAGGTTCTCAAGGTAAACAAGAAACCGTCCTAAATAACAAAGGAAATATTTTCAAAAGCCTGAGACCACACCTATCAATAATAGCAAAGTATGCCGAGCTTCACTTAAAAGCAAAAGGATTTTACACTTGGAAATTTTAAGCTCCTTGATACACAATTCTTAGGTAAAATGGAAACAAAGTACATAATTTCAAAATAGCAAAAATGGAAAACACTACATATAAAAATTTATGGAATCTATTTAGAGCAGTGATTAGAGGGAAAAGTCATGCCCTAAGAACCTTTCTAACTAAAAGAATTAAAGTAAAAGTAAATTCCCAAACACAAAAAGCAAGAAAACCAACAAATCAAAGCACAAAGAAGACTAAAAGTAAAAACATAAATTACTGAGAACAAAAAAACAGATTAATAAATCAAACTCTTGGCTTTGGCATAGAGGTTAAATGTTGGGTTGCAATCTGCAAGGTCGACAGTTCGAAACCACCAGCCACTGTATAGGTTGAGGTACAAGCAATCAGGCAGGGACAGACCAAACCCAAGGATGTTTATGTCATTCCAACACAAAGAAGGGAAAAGAAGTTGGTGGAGAGAAGGGGATTTAAAAAAAAAGAAAAAAAAAGAGGGAGACAGCGGCACTGGGAGAGCAGGGCACTAATCCACCCAGGGAGAGGGTATTGTTTATGTCTCCACCAAAATGGGAATGTGAGTGCAGACCCACCACAGCTCCCCAAACTTTGAGGGCAATGTAACCACATGAAACAACACATGAACAGAGGGCCACTGGGCCGGCCGGCCCCATTCAGAGCCAAACTGACTCCCTCCCTAGCAGTGCATGCTACAGAGGACAACACTAAACCTACAGGTTGGGGAGAGGGGCCAGCCTGCCAGGCCTACACAGAAACAAACTAAGAAGGAAAAAGAGAGAGTGAAGGACGAGACCCAGACTGGCACACCATGCCCTGAGGATGACGTCCCTGTTGTCAGCTGCTAGGGCTGACAACAGCTCAAGACATGATGTCCCCTCGCTGGGGCATACAGCAACAGAGGACAATACTGGGGACACAGGGTGGGGAGTGAATCTGGTCTGACCCCCCCACAGTGGGGAGAACCAGAAGGGAACATAACAGATGAGCAATGGGAGCAAAGGCCATGAGGAGTCTCCAAAATAGACTTCAGGCTAGGAGAAGCAGTTCCCAGAATCCCCCAGGACTGGTGGGGAGATAGTCATAAAGGTCAGCGGACCGACCTGAAATTATGTACGCTTTTTGCTGGAGTTTCTTTTCCCTCTTTTTATTCAATCTTTTCTTTTGTTTTGTCTCTGTTATTGCTGTTTTGCCTACATATAAGATAGGCATGGGAAGCAAGCCCGAGGAGAAAGCAACTGGACCAATAATTCCAGAGGGACTTGCGGGGAGGAGGAGGCAGGGGAAAGGAATGGTGAGCAAACAACAACACAGACAGGGGAACAACTAGAGGGTTAAATGCAACAACAAGGAGGTGTTGGAGCAATAGCAATCTAGCTGAGAGGCATTACGAAGAGACAAGAAGGGTGAGCGTGATGGTGGGGCAGGAGGAAGGTAAAAGGAAACAAGACAAAAGATCTAAGAAGCAAAGCTATGGACAGAGGTATAAACAGAGGTGTGTACATATGTAAATATATTAATTCATTAAAAATAGAGGTATTGGACTGTGTACATGTATTTATATGGCAATACATTGAGGAAGTGGATGAACTTTGGGCCTCTGCTCAAGCCCTCCCTCAACGCAAGAACACTTTGTTCTAACAACCTGGAATTCTGTGATGCTCACCTTCCCGACACGATCGCTAAAAGACAAAATGGGTGTATGGTCAAATGTGGTGAAAAGGCTGATGGCGCCCGGCTATCAAAAGATATAGCATCTGGGGTCTTCAAGGCTTGAAGCTAATTAAGCGGCCATCTAGCACAGAAGCAACAAGCCCACATGGAAGAAGCACACCAGCGTGTGCAATCATGAGGTGTCAAGGGGATCAGGTACCAGGAATCAGAAGACCCAAAACAAAAAAAACATATTG